TATATATAATATTATATAAAATAAAAGTAAAAAAAAAAAAAATAATAAATGATATACCAAAGCAATGATAAAAAATCAATTATATTTTGCATAAAGAAAATGATTTCAGCATGAACGATGAGGGAGTGAAATCGTCATGAAAATCTTAAAGGGATACTCTATTGAAAACAAAGACATTTTGAAGAACATCAGAACCCACTGACTTGCATTTTTAGATTTTTAAAGACATTTCTCAAAAATATCTTCTTTTATGTTCCATTGAAGACAGAAAGTCATACAGGTTTGAAACAACATTAGCGGGAGTAAATGATGAATGGATGAACTAAACCTTTGATGATCATAAAACAGGCTTCATTTTCTATAAGTATTACTAATTATTTTGTGGAGAGAATGAAAAAAAAACGACATGTTCTCCGTAGGTTTTGAGAGATTTGACGCATTATTTAATCATTTAGATCAGTGTTTCTCAACCAGGAGACCTCAATAAAACAATAAATAAATTGAAAATAAGACAAAACTAAAACTCAAGATATATATTTTAATTCACTCCCTCAACAACTGTTTCTGACTCCAGATTCACATGGTTTTGGAAAACCTAGATGTACGAGGAAACCTCATTTTAAAAGCGTGATTTCTAGACCTGGAAAATGAATACAATCTAAAATGTTTACTTTTCATGCATATATATATTTCTAGTGATGCCAGCTCGAAAATCTTTTGTTTAAAAAAAAATGTATATTTTAAAAAGCGGAAACCCTGGAGACTAATTAAAATTGTGAGTAAAAAATATTTTTTAAATTCCTATCCTTTATCATCAGCGCAGGAAATCACAAGCAACCGGAAAAGTCACGTAAATGCATTGGTTAAAAAGAGTGGAAACCCTGGAGAATAAATAAATAAATGTGTAAAATCCCTTTGAATATTGTCTTTGATAATGAGAGGCCTAAAGAAGTACAGAAGCTAAATGCAGAAAAATAAAAGAGAAAGGGATTTTTTAGCATGCATATAGTGTCCATTCGGAGGCAGCACAGCTCCATATCTCCTTATAGTGTCCCTTATCAAAGTCGAAAATCTTTTGTTTAAAAAAAAATGTATATTTTAAAAAGCGGAAACCCTGGAGACTAATTAAAATTGTGAGTAAAAAATATTTTTTAAATTCCTATCCTTTATCATCAGCGCAGGAAATCACAAGCAACCGGAAAAGTCACGTAAATGCATTGGTTAAAAAGAGTGGAAACCCTGGAGAATAAATAAATAAATGTGTAAAATCCCTTTGAATATTGTCTTTGATAATGAGAGGCCTAAAGAAGTACAGAAGCTAAATGCAGAAAAATAAAAGAGAAAGGGATTTTTTAGCATGCATATAGTGTCCATTCGGAGGCAGCACAGCTCCATATCTCCTTATAGTGTCCCTTATCAAAGAACGCCTCTGGATTTCTCTGATCGGAGATGTGTGAGGGTTTGACTCAGCTCTGGGCTTTAAACGCATCTATCATTAGTGCAAGCGCTTCAGAAACACTCGGCAGAGACGGACGCTCACCGAAGCTGAAGCTCTAACACACGTTAATATTTAAAGAAACACACTCACACACACACACTCACTGACACACACACACTTACACACACACTCACACACACACACTCACGCACTCTCTCACACACACACACGCACACACACACGCACACACACACGCACAC